TGGATAAAAAGCCAGCTCTCTGCAGGTACTGCGGCAGCACTGTGTGTGCAGCCAGGTGACACTGCTGCTCAGCATGAATAAAATCAACTGAAAACAGAATTGTTTGTGTCTGCTGTCTCCCACCTCTACAAGCAGGCGACAAAATATTAGACAGATGGATATTAGACACACGGGTCTAATGATAATGTCATTTACGAAGTTTGTGCCATGTGGCAGAAGAGAGCAGATCAACCAAACAACAAGCATAACCTACGCAAAATGGAAGGAATCCATAGAAAGATCCATATTTGAAAAACAGGAAATAAAGGATTGGTTACAGGATGGTGACTCAAGGCAAACAGATCACTGGACGTGGCTCTGCCAGGGCGCACACCAATGAGCCGTCCCTCAGTGCTAATGAGGCTAACCATATGAGTGCCAATTTTGAGTCCAAAGATTTCTCATTGCCATCTCAGCAGGTCTTTGCTGCTTTAATGCTTTAATTGTCACTGACAGAGCACAGATACCTGCTTTATCTGCTTCACTGTCGGTTTATGTCATCCACAGCAAGGCTCTTCATCATCAACAACAAATATCTTGAAAAGACAATTACATTATTGGGAAATACACTTTTCCTCTGTCAAATCTCAAACATGCACAGGCGACAGAATAATTGTGCATCATACACTATAGGATATTATTATGATTATCGTGCCAGAAGGAGTGATGCAACACCTCGCGAGATCTCTTGGGGAAGCAAACAAAAATGGAGACTGACGTAGCAGAACAACTCAACGTTAATGCTTTGAAGTGAGAAAAAAACAAAAGCCAAAACAGGATATAGAGAAGAGTTAAGAAATAATTAATTTTTGGTCTCATTCAAAACTCTAGACTGTCTTTTAATGAAAAGGAACATATTTTTGAGATTCTTTGATATCAGTTGGGTTTACCATTCCTCAGCACTTAATTAATAATAAACCTGCATGTACAGAGTTCATGAAAGGCAAGTTAATTGTTAAGAAAAATCAATGTGTTACATAATGTTGCTGTAAAAGTTAGATTATAAAGTTATCAGTGGTGTATTTTTACAGCACCTCCGTGGTTTTGCATCTAAGAGAAAAAGCAAAGTGTGGTTGGAGCATTTTTCTGACCATCTGCTGAGTGCCGCTCTACTGTATGTACATTAAGTTCATGCAGAGGCCCATTAAGTGGCTAATGGGGTTTGATTGCCGGGGAAACGAGCCGCGACAAATGAGGAGATGTCCTAATGGATGGACAACTTCAGCCACTGAGCCAGAGAGTTTGATGGAGTGGGACGGGACACTCGGGCTCTGCTCCAAATCTGCCTCTTCAGCTGCAATATTCTATTTACAAAGAGGAACAAACATTTATCTCACATGAATGAAGTCCAGTTCTCAGAACAAAACTGCAGGCACTATTGTCCTATTTAATGGCAACGAATAATGTTTGTCTGGTGACATTCTGTATTTTTTAAACATTCACAAATCGCATGTGCAGAGCCAAACCAACAATAAATGTATCCTGCTAACAAGTATTGTGCGGTCCAAGAAGTTATGACGTTGTAATCGCAATGAAAACAAATTCAACCAATCCCTGTGAATTCTGCATGACCCTGTAAACACCAAACACTGCAACTTTTCTGCAAAACTGACCAATCACTGTAGTTTCATATGTCACCAAACTCACTTCCTCATTTCTAGTGTTGAAGATGCAGAGCATGCAGACATGTGTGACGACAGTGTCTCACAGGGACCTCCAACAGTGTTATTCTCACTGGAACAAGTTGCCTTCGATAAAAACACTGCAACATGATCACAGTTTTTTAGAAAAAGCTGCCGTGAAATCTGACATTTTATGCCACAGCAATTCCAATAAATCCTGCAAAATCCTGGAGGGACTGACTGTGTGTGTATCAAAGTCTGATATATCATCTTCCTCTGTGCCATAGAGCTCCACTGTTGTCTTAAAACTACTAAAATCACCATTGAGCTCCACTGTTGCACTGTTGCTCTCTTTATTACCATGAACACACACTGTAGTTTATTTTGACTCATTCCCACATGTCACTATCCTGTTGCCCCAAATACTCACTAGAGCACCAAATGTGGATTAATCCTTTTTGAAAATGAAACAATGTATTTATGAGGCATGTTTTTCATAGTCTGGTATGTTTTTTTACTCAAAAAGTATAATTTATGCGTTAAAATCCTTAAAAAAAATAAAAATCTTTGTTAAATTCTAAAGTTTTCCTGCTGGACACAAGAAGTCTCAGGGTTTCCCAAACCTTTTCATGTCAAGGACCCCCGCAATAGATGCACATTAGACCCCCAGTATGAGAGATTTTCTCTTAAGCAAGTCATTTTAAATATTATTATTATTAAAATAATAAAATTGGCCTATCCTATTTCGTCCCTTACAGTTCCAACTTTCAAAAAATGTGATATAAGTTAAAACATTCTATTCTTCCTTTTGCTGCAGACACCCTAAAACTCTATCGAGGACCCCTGCTGGTCCCCAGACACCAGTTTGAAAACCACTGGCCTACTTCTCGGTGTATATGCACTGATAGCTTCAAGTTTCTGCATCACACTTGTAGAAGTTGCATACTGGACCAGAATTGACTTCTTATAAATATTTGTGATGTCACAAATCATGCTAGTGGGCCCCACCCCTTAAAAATTCTGATTTAAAACGATCACACATAACTTTCAGCAGATAAATGTGAAAACATCCTTCTAGTGTCAGACTCCACACATACATCATTCTGCATAGTGAAGATCAAACATCACACACAAAAAGAAACTGGAACCACCACCTCAGAGCATCAGAGACAGAAGTGACACAGGCCTTGATATAAAGTACAAAATTGCTAAGAAATGACTATCCAAGTATTCCAAGAGAAGTTGAGGGGAAGACTTAAAATTTTTCGAGGTCCGTTTTACGCTGCCCCTGTCAGAGACTTAGCCCGGGAACATAATTTGCAGATAAATTGGGGAAGGTGGAGTATATGAAGAGCTGTTTTCACTAATCCCACTTCACCTTGAAGCTGTTTGACTTCTCTTTTCTCTCATTTTCAGCCACACTCTATCAGCTCAAATCCCACGGCCCGGAAATCAACTGCTTAACTTTGCTCTTGTACGTGGACCACGAAAGGGGAATGGAGCCAGAGGTTCCCGCAGAAAAATAAAACTGTCAATATAAAAAGGTCTGTCTTTTTTTTTTTTTTTGTGCAGGGAGACTGGCTGTCCCCCTGGTGATGCAGAGAGGACAGGTAATCCACAGTGAGATTATCTGGCTCTCTCATGTTGCACAGGTGCCGCTGGCTGATATGACACAAAGTAATAGGCCTCTAAAAGCCCATGTGGAGATGGCGGTCAGGACAGCTTTAGATAGTGGCAGATAAACAGCAGCAGCCTGGAGTTATGTCAACAACAACAAAAGCAATGCAGCATTCACTAGATTTTACTCAACAGCATCATTTTGACATTACACCTTAACCGTCATAAAAGGTTTACAAACGAAGCAGCGCTAAAGCTTCTCCATGCAATATTGGTCAAATTGGAAATATAATTGACCAAGTAAAAGAATATATAATATATTACATACATATTACATAAAAATTCATTTTATATACACAAAATACAAAATTTGACAGAGTTTGGTTGGTGACCAAAAATGCCCTATGTGGGTGGGGGTTCGCCTGAGACCAATTTCAATTTCAGTTTAATTAATTTTATTTGTCCAGGGACCATGAAGTAAAAACACAAATCCCTAGATATACACAAACTCATGACCTCAGAATTTTTGCTAAAGCAAAGTTTACAACATGTCCAAAATTCACACCCATGCTATTCCAGGGTCCTCAGTAAATTTAGTGCAATCAGATTTTGAAATTCCTTGTGCACATATAGAAAGATTGCTCCTGCCAGTGGAAGCCAGAAGGTCACCAAAACCATTAGGAATCCTCCTCTGGAGAGCACGTATATCCACAGAACATTTCATGGTAATGAGGTCAGTAGTAAAGAGTCGAAGTTATATCTAAGTTTCAGACAAAAATCTGTTCATTTCTGTAGAATCACTATCAGTCAACTTGAATGCAAAGGAAAAATAAATTTGTGAGGCGCTTTCAAAAGGACTGTATTTCAAAAGGAGGGGCAAATGAATTTTACTGTGTTTACAGAACAGCCTCAAGAAAGTGATATTCGACCATTCTTCGTATAAATAAAGTAAATATATTCCAATACGTTCTATGTTTAAAAAAAACAAAATATTTCCTGTTATTTTATTTCTTGGGAAACGAGAAATGGTTTGGATGGCCATTCCTTGGAATCCTGTGTAAACCCTAGTACAAACACAGTAGACAGGGAATGTTTGCCACACTTTTCCATGTCGCTATGTAAGTACAGTCCATTTACCATTTTCATCGATTTATGGTAAAATCTTGCCAGTAAATAAGTTACTTTGGTTGCAGCTTCAAGGAGGTGATAGTGAGATACAGTGTTAATGGTCTTCATCAATGGATTGAGTTTGAGTAGTTGTCATGGAGATGCCTCAGTTGACCTTGGTGAGATGTTAACTCTGACTGTGAGATATGATCAAAAGCTTCTGATACAACTTAGTAAGTGGTCCTTGAGTCAAGAATTCTTTTTTTTTTTTTTTTTTAACCAAACAACTACTTCCATGGTCAATAAGAAGCTCCAATGCTCAAAGCAAAGGGTGGGATTCATTTAAGGTTTCTCTGACGTTTTGATGTGTTTCGACACATTTCTGGCTGTGACTCTGGGTCCCCGTTTCAATCTATTTTAACAGCTGGGTATCTGAGAGGACTACAGCTGCCGTCCTCCTTGAAGGGTCAAGCTTAAAATCTTTCAGAGCCACTTTTCAAGCCTACAGGGGGTGAATATTCGATACGGTAAAGATCCAAGAGCATTCCTTTCCTGTTCATTTCAAAGCACAGTTAGCTGTAATTCTTATTTAAAAGCCAAGACAACCACACAAAATGACTGTAATAGTATTTTATTAAATCTCTAGCTCAGTGACTTGACTCAGTTTCTACATATTTTATATTTATCATGCTTTACAGGTAGAGCTCATGCATTAGGCCCCACAGTCCTGCTATATTTATGGGGCAAATCAATAACGCAGTGCATGAACCCATCAGAACTGTACCAACCACCAATATATGGACAGGGAGGATGGACATACAGCAGAGCATCTTTTCCCATTCATCCATTCACTTTTGCTTAACTCAAAGTCAATGGAAAATTTGTTTTCCCTTTTTAAAAAGTGCATACCTCTGGGAACTTAATTGGCCGGCACCTCCAAAAACCCTGAGGGCCTGTCGCCTGGAGCCAGTTATGCCGAGACAGAAACATGCTCAAAGTTAAGACATTAAATAGAAGCAGAAGGATACACATTAAAAATATACAAAGAAAATAACTCAACCATACATTAAAAGTAAATAAGTTAATATGCCCTGTGTGTGTTTTACATCCAGAGGGGGTTTCACAGCTAAATAAAGAATTTAGAAAATTAAAAACATTATTTTGACAGTTAAAATTTACATTTGCTATAGAGGAAACAGGTGATTTGTGACTCTGTCTTGTTTGGTTTTAAAAGAGTAGAACATTACACACAAAACTTCACACATCTTCACAAACGTACGTTTGAATGGTTTGAGATACAAGGTTTGTCGAGGCAGTTATAATAAAAACATCTGAATGCGTGGAAAACGACACAGAAAAGAACACATTTTAACAGTTTGACAGATGTTGACATCATCTTTGGTGAGCTTTTACTGGCGGCAATAGTGACTGAACAGCAACAACACTAGCAGGGTTTACTGTGGTTACTGCATACAGACTATCAGTGTAGGAGAGATCATTGCATAAGGGTTGTAACTCTGATCTAGTGCAACAGGGCTCTTATAAGGACAGATGTTTTAGGGTGTGTTAAAATGGAGTGTTTCCTTTGTTCTGTTACATGTGAACGAGGCTATTCATACTCAGCTGTCTGCAACTGCATCGGTTTGGTGTCACCCTAGAGGAAACTGCAAGGGTTAAAGGGTATGAGGGGACAGATGCGACATCTGATAAACAGCAATTCCTTTGCTTTGAAAGGCAAACCAAACTACATGAAGCATCAATCTGAACCAACCACCACAGCTGAGAGCTTAAAGGACCAGTGTGTAGGATTTAGTGGCATCAAGTGGTAAGAAGATTGCAACCAATCAAACCGCTAAGGTAACAAAAACACAACGATTCTTATTTTCAGGCGATTCTACAATAATGACTAATGACAGTTATGAAAACATACCTATGAATATTATATTCCATTCCAAATTGAGAATCAAATTGAAATTAGGACAGTGTTCACTTAAAGCGCTAATGTTCCTAATTAAAATTTATGGAAAGGCGCTTCTGTACAATGTTAAATATGTGGAACACCGACCTTCACTTTCCCTTCAGTTACCTTTAGTTCACTATATTAATAAATCAACCCCATATTTGATTACTCAAAACTAAATTTGGTGTCACAATAACTTATCTGTGAGTGCGGCTATTCTCTACCATTGCTGCTGGTTGATGTGAAATGCATGCTGGGATAGCCACAAACACAAGTCAACTCCCAAAACATTCTGGATACCTTGGGAAGCAGCGAGACTTGCAAGATCACAAAATCACATGATAATCCATCTTCAATCTATGCTGATCTATGCTCTATGTTTGTGGCCAGACCTATCAGCTTCCTTCGAGGAAGTACTGGCAGCTAGGGTGGTGGGCCCTAGGTGTGATGTGGTGAGAAGACACTGTTGGTTAAACCACACTGGCAGCTACCATAGAGGTTAGTGTAGATTCTGCTAGTGTCAGTTATATCAGGAGAGCAAAGAACGGCACTGAAGCCTTTTCTCGATGGTAAAGATGTTTTCGCTCTTCTCACGACTGGCTTTATTAAGAGTTTGACTACATTAATGGCTGTTGATCTTATTGGTTGAAGTTTGCACGTGACAGATGGTTCATCCAATCACTTGCCAAGTACTTTTTGAAAGTGCCTGCCCTTTTCCAAACAGTTTCAACCAACGCTTTCCTAGACCGCTCTGTGTAACAAGTCAGGTTATGGATAAAATGGACGAAGCAAGAAATCTCTGGGCGTTTGGACGTTCTTGACTAAATGTGGAATGTCGACTTGATGTTTAACGAGAATAAAAGTATGGACAAGACCGTAGATTAAAAAAGGCATAGTCGCTGGCACTTCTAGTTAAACAGAACAATGTTTTAGATCATATTTCTTCTATTGACAGGTGTGTCACCCTATCACAGTCAGCCCTGGTGGTTGTCACTTTTACCCAGGTTTTCTCCCCTTGGACCACATTTAGATTTTCTGGCAAGATAGCAGCACAGCCTTTCAAATACCTCTTCAGAAACCTGTGTGTGATGCCACAGACACTCCATCTATGCTATTTTACAGTCTGGACGGATACTCAGTTACAGTGTAGAAACAATTTGGAACAAGAACAGCATAGGCAAGTCCACCATACTTAAGAATCACATGGAATCAAAAATGTGTTGACCTTCCCAGTACCTAAGAAATGGAAGGAGCTGTGAATGTGAATCTTCTAATGTCATAGAGAACAATTTTTGTAATTTTAGACATTGGAGGAGGCGTATCCTTAGCTTGAAATAAAATTAAAATATCCTTGTGGCCTCAAATTTACAGTCAACGAACTGCAACAGAGCAGATAAAACAGAGTTTTACAATCTGTGGGAGGACATTCTCGAGTTATCACAACACTGATAATTTGAGATCACAATACTGACATGATAACAAACCTTTTACTGTAGACTTCGTATGAATTTGGTATAATCATACATGCAAAATGAATATATCACTATTCTTATATAAACAAGGGCCATTTTAACTAACAATGCCGTTTACAAGTTTCCATTCCCAAAGTCTGTTTTTACATTTGTCCTTTGTATAAAGTTGCATAACCAATGAATAATCTTTTTTTTATGTGTAGTGCTGGCTGAGAGGGAGTAGCATGAGGCTATAAAAATTAAGGAGGAATGTTAAATCCATGGGTTCTGACATCCTCTTTCTTCCCAGTAACACCAGTCCAGTCCATAACAATCCAGAGGAAAATTATTCCACCACTGAAACTGGTTCAGAAAGAAAAGCGAGCAGTCTGACGTGTTTTCTGTCAAAGACCCCCACCACCGGCAGCCCAGCGCTAACTCAGGTGTTGAGTGCAAACTGGTCCTGCTCTATAGGTTTCTTCACCCAGGCGCCCAGTCCGGCTTTGTGGAAGGCTCTGAAGAGTGTCTGCTTGGAGCTGTGGTACTCCACTGCTGCCTGCTTGGCGTCGTGGTAGATGCTGGGCCTCACTACCCTGATCCGCAGGGTGGAGGAAAGCTGCAGGGACATGGACAGAAGGTCGACACACAATGAAATTGTCTTTGCCGTAGAAATCATTAATGCCAAGAAAAGCAGATGCTTACCTAATTGTTATTGCACTGGAGCTTACATTTTTGCTAGCCATTGATTCAAAATTCTATGGTGGCCAGACAGTGACATTAATTTGCTTAAACAGTTTAATTGATTCTTTTCTTAATTTTATATTCATGGGGACTTACTCTTATTGATTCTAAAAATAATTGATGTACAAACCGAAATAAACATACTGAAACTTTTATGACCTCTGAGGCATGATGGGAGGTAGCAAATCTTGCATTAACAGGGTAAAATAGCACAAACAACAAAAGAGAATTAAACTAAGTATATATACCCATAAAAATTTAAAGAAAAGTATGTAGCACTCAGCTATGAAGGTTCCTAAAATTCAAAATAAGAGAAAATTGAAGCATGCAGGGACCCTGATGATACTGTATTATACTAAAGGAATCAGGGGTGTATGACCATTTCTTATTTTGAAGAATATGTGAACTAGAGCGATAAATTTGCAAGAATCTGGCAATGCGATATGCATCATGATACAGGGGTTACAATTCAGTATATTGCGATACTTTAAGGAAGGAAATATATTGTAATGTTTTAAAAATATAAGACACACATATGTATAAAATCAAAGTAAAGAAAAAAAGTTTACTTTTTTATACAACCAGACCTGTGGGATCTGTATTTCTAACCCTCAGTATAAAACGTATCATTTATACTCACATTCATTGAGTGTGTTACCTTGCAGTGCAGACGCATCCAGCGGCTGTAGAGAGCGTGTTTGCAGAGCCTGGAGGGTCGACCCAGATCATCTTTCCCTGTGGTGGCGTTGATCACCTCTAGGCCTTGGTCTCCCACCGTCCAGTTCACACTGAAGTTGGGTGCTTTCCCTGGCTGACGAGCCTCTGCGTTACTTATCCCTGTAGAACATGAAAACATGGCAAAACAAGTTCAAACTCTCCTGGTTTATTCATGTTGTTCAATTAACAGTTGAGCAAGCCTCAGTCAGAACCTCGGTCAACTTTTGCTGCCTCCAAATGGAACTAGTACCCTCTTTGTTACTACATGTGAAGTCTTGTACACAAACTCTTCATGAGCTTAGCTTTCAGAAAATGTCCAATTACCAGGTTAAAAAGCGGGCAATTACAATGATTGGTCAAAAAGTTGCGGTAGTTGGACAAAAAAAGAGTTTGTATTAATTGTTGCAATCTCAACATTGCAACTTCCTGAAGGGACTAATAGAAGTACAGGAAAGGAGAAAGTTGACCAAGGGAAACTGTTATTAGAGCAAAGAGCAAAAAGGGGCGGGACTTAGGAAGGGTTTAATTTGGTTATTTATATAATGCAATGAACTGAGAATAAAAGGAAAAGATTGTGAATTTCCTGACTTTTCCACAGAACTTTCACAACAATCTCTGTCTGTAAACTCAAACTTCCCTCATATACCATAAAATCCAGGTCCAGTGAGAACCATGCTTTTCACACTTCTGGAAGCCCTACAGATGCCCACTTGAAAATGTCACATCTGTACTGTCAGTGTGAGAAAAAAAACAAAAACAGGAGACAGGTGGAAATCAGTCATTTGTAAAAGTGCAGTCTGTTTCTCACCGCTGAGCAGCGGTTTGTTCAAGCTGAAGGACTGCGGCAGGTCCTCGATCTCAGTAATCCTCTGGTACATGGCTCTGGAGAGGTGGTCGGCGTGGTACAGGCTGCCCAGAATGATGCTGGAGAAGTAGATGGGCTCAGTGAAGTAGCTCATCAGAGAGCCCTGGAATCCAACCACGTTCCACCTGAAGCGGCACAGAACAAACCATTTGTTCGAAAAACATTCTCGTCAAATTCATCAGCAAATGTATGGATTAGGGTCCTCTTTTTGTAAACTATGGAAACACAGGAGGTTTAACCTGAGGGAGCCTGAGCAATCACACAAATCTGCAAAAATCCACATTGTTGTTCCAACTAATTCTCCTGAAAATACAAATCTGATTCCAGCTCAGAGGAGTCCCGGCCTCCTGGAGATTCATCAAGAATCCCAATCATAGCTCCAGTGGCCTAATGACACCCGAGAGCTGCAGCTGACAGACAGAAATGGAGTGATTGCAGCATGACACCGAGATAATTCACCCTCTTTACACATGCACATAATCATCAGGAATCCTGCTGGTCGGCTCAATAACACCCTTCAACACTTCAAGTGGGTCTGCAGGGCTGTGTTTAATATTTTGAAAGGGAAAACTACAGTATATGCTATGGTTAGCTTATAGGAAATGTTGATTCATTTACTCACACTGTATGTACACTCATATTGTGTATTTTTTCCTTTCCAAAGATATTTTAAAAAGTGGCACAGGGTGTACATATGTAAAAATACACCATTTGGTATTAAAGAGTGACTGCCCTATCCCTTTTAAATAAAACCCTATTTATTCAACCTAATGGACTTTATGAACTATTTTTCTGTTGGACTAATGGACCCATCGCTTTTTTGTGTGTTAACCTAGTGTTGCTACAGTTATTTTTTGGCTTCAATTTAGGAGAGCTGTCATGTCGTCCACCTTTATATATGTCGATGATGGATACGCAGTGTAAAACGTTTGAGAAACACAGATGTAAGTCATTGGAAAAACTACAACTAATACTGAAACTAATAAAAACTAAACTAAAATGAAACAATAAGAACTAAACTGAATCGAAAACAAAACAAAAGTAAAAACTAATGTAAAATACGAAACTAGGACAGGAAGTGAAACAACACAAACCGAGCAATCTTGTCACTGCAGGACATGGTGAGCAGCCTCTCGCCCTGAAGAACCCCGTCCCACGTCTGAATGGTGTTACTGGAGCGTACTGGGATGGTTCCTTCACCGGACTCAATTTTAGTGCGGAGCTGCCCACGGGCTTTTCTGTTTGGGTGTCTATCTCCCTGATCTGAGACAGGAAGATGAGCAAAGGACAGACAACTTTGAGGATCTTACAGTCAGGATAACTTCTATCTAATCATGCACAGCCTTTGTTATATTCCTCTCACCCTCCACTCCAGCTTCATGGGGAGAGAAGATGCGGGCGTCTCCACAGGGGGAAGTGCTGATGTACAGGTGGAACTGGACATTTTCCTTCAGTCTGAAGCCTTGTCTGTTTTCACACCTGGTGAAGATGGACTTGTGTTGCTCCTCTTCATGGTTACTGGAGACACAAGTGTGAAATTGAGTGATGTTATACCATACGGAAAGTTTCTGATTGGCTGGCAGGTGGCATTTCATCTGTATCAGAATGACTCACACAGTTTTGGCCAAGGTTTGACATGCAGAAGAAAATCATGTTAAGACTTTATCTAACTAACAGATTTAATTCTGAGCTCTCTCGTTATATATATTTCAACCATTTCTAGAGCAGAAATATGAACACTAGAAAAAGCTAGGTTCATTTTATTGACATATTAGAGTCAAAGGGAAAATCTCCTTTTATCACTCCATGTATCAGAAAAAGGCCTCAGTAAAAACTGCTACTAAAGGGGGGAGTTCGGGCTCAGAAAAAAACGTATTTTGGGATAAAGGCTTTTAAAGATATGTATTGTAAAATTCATGACAGGTGAATAGGGTAAAAAAAATTAATTTAAATGGATATCACTATGAAACATCTGCAGTTTATTACTCATATTAAGCCAATTATTTTTAAAAATGTTCAGAAATGTTATATTTAAATAAGAAAATGAGGCCTTATATGATGCTAACTTTTGGTGAAATCTACAACTGCAGACAGATGAAGTGCAGTCAAATAACCATTTGTGTATTTTGGGCGCTTTCTTTCCACTGGTCTGTAAGAACACATGGTTTGGAAGCAAAACAGCCAAAAATGGGCTATGAAAAGACAGCCTAACAAGCTCTCTGCTGTGTTGCGGCTCACCTGAGAAAATGCTCCAGCTGCGAGTACAGGTACCTGATGAGCGACCGGCGAGCCACAATCTCAGCATGGCAGTCGTTGAGTGCCAAACCTCTATCGCTCATGTATTCACCATTGATGCACTTTGTCCCCGTGGACACACAGATGACCTCAGCCTCCTTCACATCAGTACCTATGTAAGAAAGTATAAAGACATAAGAGGGACATTGATTTGGTGACATCATACATCATTGAAGTTCTCCCATGATAGAAGATGATAAGACAGATGGTTCACCCAATCACCTACAGAGTATTTTCCAAACAGTTTCCAACAACGAATTCCCAGATGGTCCTGTGTAACAAACAATCTGGCGCAGTCAGGTTTTAACTGTGTCTTTGACTCTAAACACTGAGGTTTAAACTTAAAGAGAGACTGACAGAGCGTTTTTATACTCTCCTTACATATGTGAAAGAAAAGTTGGGGTCAGAATCAGGTTAGGTGTAATATTTTACATAAAAACACATATGCATCACAATCACAGCTCAAGAATAAGAGAATAGAACCGTATCAGGTCCCTGCTGAGACTTAAGACACGGTTTGTGCAGAACAGGCATAGTAAACATCTCTTTAATCACTTGACTCTATGTAAATGCTCAGCTGCAGTGTCCCAGTATCCAATCCCCTTGATATCTGGTGCTGCAGCCTCAAACGCTGACATACTAAGAGCTTCTAAAATCTTCTTGGGAGAAGGGTTGAATGATTTTCAGCTGGCAACCATTTGACTGACAAACAAAAAATTACCTGTTGTCATGACGACACCCGCCAACACTTTCCGTCGAGCATGGGGAGACGTGAAGTTGTCCGTCAGTTCGCTGAACTTGTCAACGACCAGGCGGGAGACGGCATCTGCCAGGACCTGAGGTGGCAACCAAAGAATTATTATAGATGAGGCAGAATGGAAGAATGACATAAAATAAGTTAGAACTCTTTGAATTAAAGAAACCAGATTATGTCATTTGAATTAACAAATAGCTGAAGACAACAATGCCAAAGCATGATAAAAGCAAGTGAAAGCTCTTCTTATCTGCACTAAACTATTACTGAATATTTCAATTAGGTATGCTGCACCGGTGTGAATGACAGGCAGGGATCTTAGCAGCTTAAAACAGTCAAATCCTCTGCTTCACTGACTGCTCTTTGAGTAAAGCAGAGTGACTGGGAAAGGCTGGTATAATGAACAGCAGTGTTTGAATAGCACTCAGAGGGTGATGGTAATTAAGATAGCAGCTTTGTTATCGGTGTGCAGGGATTACAGGCAGGGATTAGTTTATGTGTAAATAGATTGCCAGTGTATTGAACTTGTGTCTTTCCTGAAGCCGTCTCCATCTTCAATCGGTGAGTGGTGACATTTGTAGACGATGTCTTTCGTTAGACAACAGAGATCTGACAAGGAAATGTTTGTAGCACGCGATCAAACAGGCCACTGCCCCTCTCAGACTGTGGCTTTGTTAAAAATAATTCTTTATGTGACAAATTTCAAGCCTCTCTCTTTATATGTCCCTTGTCTCTTGTAAGACTAGGACTAAGTATTGTAAAATGTTTCAGTATAATGAGGCTAAAAGCTTCTAAAGCTAACATCTTTGTTACACATTTTTTGACTCCTAGGACCTACAAGGAACTTTCCCCTGTGCACAAAAGCAATAGTGATGTCAAGGTAATCTGACCAAATCCAATTTGGTGGCTGTAATTAGGAATAACTATATAGACATATCTTCTCACTGATGGTTTTGTTTGTTTATGTAGGTTATATACAGGCATCAGTATTAACTTTAGTACTATTACATTAATGTCAGCCTGGTTCCAAAAGGGCGAAGAGAGCAAGGAAAGATCACATAGAAGAAGAGTTATAAATCCTAGCAAAGCAGTACTACATGCAGGCCAATGTCAGTAACATCAGCAATTCCTAGTATCTTTTATTCACTGTCAAGATGTAATACGCAGTGATTTGCTGATATACAAACAAATGAATTTTTTCCTTTTAAAGATATTCTACACCAGCTTTGCTTTTACTTTCACTTGATGCTACAGACATATTTTATTCAGTGTCATAGTCAAGGTTGTTATTTGTCCTTTTGATTGACATCAAGAGGGTGCATCTTATCTATTATGAGCCAGACGCAAAAAGTGGGGAGTAGAGGCAGAAATGCATGAGGGTGACTGCTTATGGCAGATATGGCTGAGATAACTTCTGTTATGAATTGGCACTATACAAATAAAATTTAATTGAATTGAATTGAATTAACGTACCTGAATGTACCTGAATGCACCTAATTGCACCTGAACACTACTGAATGCACCTCAATGCACCTGAACGCACCTCAATGCACCTGAACACTACTGAATGTACCTGAACGCACCTGAATGCGCCTGAACACTACTGAATGTACCTGAACGCAACTGAATGGAGCGAAGGGTTGCGGCCCAACAGCAACAGTGAAACACAACAATCGTTCACATCTACGAGCAGCAAAAAATACCTATATAAGGCGGGTATAAAACCCCATACTTTGGCCACGCAGAACAGGTGTGCGGAATATTTGTTGTTCGGCGAGGGATTTAATTATCACTAAGCATTACCACTAACACATATGGCTATACTAGCTACTAACAGGCCACAACATATACACGCCCAGCTGCCAACAACACTTACCTGAACTCAACACCTTCCACTGTTCTTCCGCAGCATGCCACTTGACTGGGCAGTGAAGCCAACCCAGTGCCCCTTCTAGGGTCACCAACCATGCACTGGTCCTGCATCGGTTTCAGTTAGTTAAGGTTAGCAAACAGGTGCAGACAGAATGAATGCACCTGAACACTACTGAATGCACCTGGACACGACTGAATGCACCTGGACACGACTGAATGCACCTGAATGCACCTGAACACTACTGAATGTACCTGAACGCAACTGAACGCACCTGAACACTACTGAATGTAGCTGAACACTACTGAATGTACCTGAACGCACCGGAACGCACCTCAATGCACCTGAACACTACTTAACGTACCTGAATGTACCTGAATGCACCTGAACACTACTGAATGTACCTGAATGTACCTGAATGCACCTGAACACTACTGAATGTACCTGAACGCAACTGAACGGTTCCTATCGAACGGTTCTTATCGAACGGTTCTTATCGATTCTGGTGGAGCCTCCTGCCATGGTCCTGCTAGATTGCCATTGCCAACACTGTTGTTGCTGTGCACCTGTCTGTCTGTCTGTCTGTCTGTCTGTCTCTCTCTCTCTCTCTCTCTCTCTCTCTCTCTCTCTCTCTCTCTCACCCCAACTGGTCGAGACAGACGACCACCCACCTAGAGCCGGAGGATCTGTCCTAGGTTTCTGCCTTTTAACAGGCAGTTTTTCCTTGCCCTTGTCGCCAAGTGCTTGCTCATGGTGGTACTGTTGGGTCTCTGTAAATAATGTTATAAAGAGTTCGGTCTAGACCTGCTCTATTTGAAAAGTGTCCTGAGATAACTTCTGTTATGAATTGGCGCTATACAAATAAAATTGAATTGAATTGAATTATGGCAAAGAACTCTTGTGGGGACCTTTGGTGATGGACGATGAACGATAACCCTCTTCCCTGAAGTATTTTGGTTTAGTTTCTGTCTGCACCTGTTTGCTAACCTTAACTAACTGAAACCGATGCAGAGACCAGTGCATGGTTGGTGACCCTAGAAGAGGGCACTGAGCTTGGCTTCACCTGCCCAGTCAAGTGAGCAATGCTGCGAGAAGAACAGTGGAAGGTAAGTTGAGTTCAGGTAAGTGTTGTTGGCAGCTGCAGGCAGTCAGTATATGTTGTGGCCTGTTAGTAGCTAGTATAGCCATATGTGTTAGTGGTAATGCTTAGTGATAATTAAATCCCCTCGACCGAACAACAAATCATTACCAGCACTACCTGTTCCATGACAGTCGGTACCAAAAAGTATAGGGGTTTTATACCCAGCCTTATATAGGTCAATTTTTCTGCTGCTCGTAGATGTGAACGTGATTGTATGTGTCTTCAACTGTTAGCTGTATGAGCGACCTGTGCATGCAGAACCCTGCCTCTTCCCAAAAGCATGCTGGCACAGACTCCACCCCCTCCCCAAAACTGGAGATAAATTGCCAGGACAGATACAATAAAAGCTAATAAAAAGTGCATTTTTGAACAAACAGTGATGATATAGGACATGTGTCCACTTATTCTTCTTTTACTTTCTGTAGAGTGGATACAACTATTATGTATTATTGCTGCACATCATTACATGACTCCAGTCCACCAAAAAGAGTGTGACAGAAAGACCTCAATGTGTGTATGGACAGAGGAAATCATGAGAAAATATTAATGATATATTAATTAGGATGCAGCAATGAAAGACCATAATTTACGTTCTTGTTACACTCTCTAGCTCATGTAATCAGACAACAATGAGAATTTTCCTCTGTAAACCTACAATTTATGCAACAATTGGATGGAAACATGCTTCAAGTCTAATCTCTACCTCTGTGAATCGTATTGTTTGGTAAAGTGAATACTCCAGACATCCAAATGACCTCTTTCCCTCTTTTAACAGAAAAACAAGCAATATTGTCCATGTTTTTTGTAGTAGTAATAATCTCTACTAACTGTGTAGTGATGCTGACTTTTTCTTTGTTATTCACCTGTCTGGTTAATGACCAAACATCTGGTCAATTTACATAGTTAGCACATGAGATTTATGTGCAAGGCATCAGGCCCTATAAAAGCCACGTTGAAAACAATCCCTATTTACTACTCATATTATGCCGCAGGAAACAGTATTGTAAAGTTACTCAACTGTTAGAAATTGCTTACTTCCATGACACTTACATAATGGGCTGTGCATTGTATATTTTTAACTTATAGCACCCAGGGGATGCATAGCAGAGAGAATAATTGAGAGCAGCACAGAACAATTGAAAATAAATGGAACAAAGTTCCTGGTGCCATTCATCAAGTAAAGCCCCTGCAGTGCATTCATTAACTCTGTATACTTTTTGTTCTATGATCATATCTTTTAACAAGGCAAGGTGAAAATGGTAAAGGAAGCAACAAAATATTGGGGGCTCAATAGTCATTTACTTTAGTCCATGCTTACCTGAGGCAGGTGAAGCTGCAGCCCTTCTCTGGGTATAGGCTGTCTTGATGGAGCCTGATCCAGCTGCATGTTAAACAGAGCGAACAGAGCAGCCTGGGCAGCCCGGGCCTTGGCCAGCTTCTTGTTCCGCCCAGAACCCTGGAAATTCTGAGCATCTACTGTCACTGACATGACAAAGTTCTTGGCATGGCTCTCACCGCTCTCTGACACAAAGTCATACTTGAGGCCCGGTCGCAACTCGTTGAGGATCATTACTGGATTCTTGCCGCTTGTAGGGGAGGTGAAGGTGGAGGGGGCTGGAGGTAAGGGGGCCTGGACCAGGTTTGGAACAGGGGAGGGTAGCAATGGGTACTCTATTCCCAATGAGCTGAAGGAACCATTACTGTTGGGTGCGAGGTAAAACGGGTCATCTACAGGAGTGGATGTCTCAAAGGCATTAAAGAGCATGTCTGGAAAGTCAGCCTGGTCCGAGGTAAAGTCCGTGTGAACAGAGAGAGTCCGGCCCATGGCCATGTGGGCTTCAGATGCATTGGGGAACTGGACGAAGGATCGCAGGGCCTTCTCTGCTGCGTTCAGTTTGGCCTTCTTCTTGGTAGGACCCGAACCCTCAAAAAGCTGCCCGTTGACCTCCACAGTCATCACAAAGACGGGCGCATGGACCGGCCCGGTCTGAGAGAGCAGTTTGTACTGCAGCCCTGGTTTGATCTCATTCAGCTGCATTAGGGCATTCTTAGGCAGAATGGGCCCGGGGACTTTCTTACGCTTCTTGGGCCTGTACTTGGAATGTGTATGCCCATTATTGCCCTCCTCTAAGGGACGTTTCCGCCCACCCCCAGCACTCCCATTGGGGAGTTGAGCAGCCTCAGCTGCAACCCCCTCTTTGGAGAAGAGGTTGTCCAAGTTCCGATTTTCCTTAACATCTGTGCTGCATGAACCTGCGGTGCCCAGAAAGAGTAACTTACAATGCCTTCGTTGCAGGATCTTGTAAATGTAAAATTTAGAGATTCCTTTATCTCTCTTTGTAACTGAACAAGTGATGTGTGTTCCTTAACCAATACTTATGTGGTGACATTATAAGAATATAGTGGCAGTAAATAATATTGGTAATAAGTGTATTCTAAACACACAACAAAAATGTTACACACAATCAGGACCAATCTGTGTACACTGCTAGGAATATTTTTTGGTGCAATTACATTTAAGCAATGAATACTGTCAACATTTAATACTTCCCTGACCAAAGTAAAGCATGACATTAGCATGGAAAGCAAATACAGTAATTTCAGCTATTTATTGCAGTACTCTATGTTATATTTAGTAAATTACAGGACAAACTGTGAATACAAAGAGGTCTTTCGAAACATATATTTTCTTTAATTTCTTTCTCTGGACGATCTGATGTGTTTTGGGAACACATATCACCAGGCCCTGTTAACAAAGCCGATGGAACTTAATGTAAATTTTCATTTATAACATCCTCCAGCAAAAGCTCGATAGGTTACTCCTTTCGGTGCTTAGGACAGAAAACAATCCTATAAAATGCAGGTTTAGAGGGGTTGTGGGGAAAGATGGGAGGAGCAAACAAGGGTGTCAACTTTTCCCAAAATAATTCTGAGCCTGAAGGAAGACCAGAGAAATTATATAAACTTTTAGCATTTGATTGATTAAATATGGCCACTTCAGACAGAGAACCAGCAGCTAGTGTAAATTACCATCCATGTGAGAATAAATACAAATTAGTAGCTCATGTTTAATATGTGCTAAAATTAATTAAAAAAAACAATTAACCACAGTTCAGGCACTGCAGTGGAGTGTTGTAAAAGCTACAGCTACTTGACTCAACTGACCATTCTTAAGTCCTGCCCCTTTTCGTTCTATGCTCCAATGACAGTTGAGCAATCCTCGGTCAAAACCTCGGTCAACTTTCTTCTTTCCCGTGCTTAGATGTGCAATGTGCTAGGCTCATAAATATGTTTGGGAAGCTGTTTAAAAGATAATGTGACATATATTTATTAATGTTATTAGCAAAATGTTAGCTAACTAGCATTACCCTAACATAAGCTTTCAGATGTAACTAGCTAGGTAATGATTAATATAAATTAGCTAGTGTTTTGCTACAGAGAAAAACATGACCTAACTAACTAGCTCATTGGGTAGCGTTTTGCTAACATAACTTAATAAGTGACTACATATATGTCGCTTTTACCGTCTTCAAAATTTTGTTGTCTGTTCAACATAGACGAGCCCAGACGACAAGTTCTGACAGAGTTTTGTTCAACTGTTATTGGAGCACAGTGCAAAAAGGGAAGGGACTCAGGAAGGTTCAATTGTATGCCAACTATAGGGATTGGTTCTAATAACTGGATTCATTTTGGATCTCGTTCCACGTTGATAAAATACCAGGATTTGTTAAGTTCCATGGCCATTGAATCTCTTATCGAATCTTTCATTCACAGTCTCTCTTAGATATTCTCTTTTGCCAGTCACAACTGGTGACTTTACACGTACTAACTCAGCCACTGAACATGGTGAACCAACTTAACTTAAATGTTATGAAGTGCAAATACAATAAAAAAGTCAACCAATATGGTTGGTATTACTCAATATTCGATAAAGTCTGCGATTTATTTAGATAATATTTTCTGAAAGTAGATTCATATTTCCACTGTGCTGGTTCTACTTTAGCATCAATGACTTCTGCAGCTGTAGTACAGGCTGCCACTGAAGGGGAAAAAATGCAGTTTCCCTTGCAGCAAAAGGAAAATTGAGCTAGGACAGGGTTAATGAATGTTACAGAATATCCGATGAAAGCCGTAAATCCTTTCAGCTGAGTAGAATCTCTGTGGTTAAGGTGTATTGAGTGAAATAAAAACATAGCTTTTAACTAAGGTGTCTTCATTTCGCACCAAACAAATTACCTAAAAAGATTCGATAAGGGATTAGAGAGATTTTGGATTCGATAAGCGGATTCAGAAGTTGATTTAGTTTTGATAAAATACAATAGAACACTATCCCTACCCTCTGTGTTAGGCAAAGTTTAGCTTCATGCATTCCAATATGAATTGTAAATCACTTTCTCCCTTACCAAACTGTACAGTGCCTGGACAGAGTTTGGCGTTCAGTCGCAGCCTACTGTAGGCAAAGTAAATACCAAGCATGCAAAAGGGGGACGGAACTCAAACATGAAAAACACAATAGCAGATAATGCCCTGAGCAACAAGAGGGGGAGAGTGATTATAGGTCTGTTGGGGGAGAGGGAACATATTGTTATTGTTACTCCACTCCAACAGCCAGTGCTGCAGCTCAGCAGGCAAAATACTTGAAGCAGAAACAGAAATTCTCTTCATTAGATTGCGGGAGAAGTGAATCCATTGGGCACGTCTATGTCTATGGGTCTTGGCATGCTCAGTTGTAAGGTCAGCACTAACTGCGTTACCTGACATCTGATACTTGATTTCTATGACTTATGGTTTACAATTTTAGCAAAAAGCCCTTGAACAACCTTGACCACTTCCAGCCTGTGACCAACTCTCCCTACACTGTCAGGCGTAATCCACATGTTCTCCCGACAGGTTTCACTTTGGCTTACACAGAACGGGGACCGGATTACTGCTGTCTCAACACAAATAAAAAAGTGTTTAAAGTGGCCACATCGGTTAGCGCTGGGGCAAAGCATCAGCAGGCCCAATCACAATGCAAAACTGGCTATCTGGTTCAAGTCTTCAAGCACTCCTGAGTCCTTTCAGTCTGCCCTGACAAACAGCCAGATTCGCAAAATGGAATGTCGTCTCAGCCTGATGCTTGATCGTATCATTTTTGCAAATAAATAGCCAATTTATCAAACCTCATGTCCCTGTGAATCAGCTTTTATAACCAAAAACAGGCAATGGAACGTGTCAGGTACAAGTAAAGCTTCATGTTAACTTAATTTGCTTTGCCTTGCATATTAACTTCACTTAGACCCTTACTATATTCATCTTTTCCATAAAATCCTATTGAGGCTTATCATGGGTCAGATGGCTTCAGAGCTGAAATAGACCTATGTCCAAAATCCAGGTAGCTCTCAGGGGGCTTTAGGGAGCTTTTTTGTCGAGAGCAAGGGGACAAGCTTAGAATCTGTCATCAAAATGGACTGAAATCTCACAGTAGATACACCCTGACCCTGGGATTAAGCTCTGATCCTGCCTCCCAAGCTGGTAAAAAAGGAATTGGATGGCACATTTTCAAGGACAGTCAGAGAGGAATACAATGGTGAATCAGGGATATCTAAACTCAGGATTCTGTATTTCCTTTAGCTATATGCATGCATCTCATACCCAACCTGGACATACCCGGGGCAACAGCATAATTCTAAAGTACACAAAAAGTTATTAAAAAGAAAATAAATGAAAAAGACTGAGAAAAGCTTTTGTAAATGCTTATGGAAAGTTCCATATCGACATCAGATATTGTCATCTTGTTTAGACTTGAAATGGAAAAATTGACTCACTCATGCTTTCCACTTCGTCCACCTCTATGGCGAGCAGCCTCTGTTGGTTTCGAGGTAGCCGAGCTCCCACTCGACCTGGAAGAAACACACACAGTAAAGACAAAGCAAATGTTTATACAGTTCGATTTGGTGGGAACAGGATCTGTTTTTGAAGGAACCAGAGCTGCGGTGTCTACTAGGAGAATAAATTAATTAAGAGGAGGCTGTGGTGTGGGTGATTGGGAGCTGCAGCAAACAGTGTTGGCGTGAGTTTCTCAGAAGAACATAGTGAAACAATGTCCCACATTATGATTGAAGTCACTGCAGGACAGATTATTTTCTAAAATATTGAACCATATGAACTGTAAAACTTTAGCTTCCTTTTCTTCTGGACAGACAAAAGTTTGCTTTACTTTGTTAAACAGACCAGACACTTATTAACAATTATGAACATGCCCACAACAAGATAACTTTTCCAACAGCTACTCTAAATACAACAAAATCCAACCCAACCTTTTTACTTAAGGGATCCCTTTTTTCACTCAGTCAACTGTTGACCCCTGACTCAGTGACATATTTTCTTGATTTTTCATATTATATTGAATGTATAACAGTACAACTAACCCTAACTAAAAGAAGTAGAGAACAACTGATATGATCCAAATAATGAACATAATAACTGCACTGGTTCATGCTGCAGTCGCGTCACACATCATGTACCACACTGCGTACATTTCCCATAAATCAGATGATGGTTGTTACACAAGGCTTACTTTCTCTCTCCAGCAGGTGGTGTATGACTATGTAGAACTAGATGTAGATGTGTTCAGGGTGGAACTTTTATTATCAAACGTGAAGTTTGGTTGAGACTGAACGAAGTCATAAATAGTACAACTTTTAAACGTGAAGGTCTTTAGAATGCACTCCAAGAGACCTTTTTTCTTTCTTGTGTGTACCAATTTTGATACATATTGATGGAATTTTGGAATTTTGTGCCGTGGCTGCTGAAAAAGTGTGATTCATTTGGCAGTAAAATAATAACTCCTTGAATTTCAATAGTGCTTTGCAGTGGTTGCTGCTCGGGCAATAACTAAAGAAATGAACAAAATCCTGAGGCCTACTGTGTATATTTAAGTGTGAAAGATTTCCAAAGTTGGGAACTGCGATTTTAGAAGTCCGCCTGAATTTCTCAAAAGAGGCTTTCTGGGGAGCTTATGTCTCTTTCAGGAGAGCCAAACAATCGAACAGCAGCATTTCAGCATTGTCTTTGTGAGCTGGTTAGCATGCTGAGCTAGCATTTAGCTCAACCTCACTGAGCAGCAAGCAAGGCTGTAGACGCTCTTGTTATGCAAATACCTTTTTATCCAGCTTTATAGTTTTCTTCTTTTCTTTTGTTTCCCACCTCTATTTCATACTGCCATTATTTTACTTTTTTTAAAAGATGTTTTTTGATTGTAAAGCATTCTACCTTAGTTCTGAAAAGTGGTAACAAAATCAAATCCATTATTGTTTCCCTGAACACACAGCAGCGGACAGACAAATGCACTAAAATAAATTTGCTCACTGCTAACCGACTTGGCAGGGAACACAAACACTAACTGGCAGGTGAAAGAGAGTTCCCGTTGAAAACATTAACATGCAGCAGACAGCACCCAGAAAAAGCCTGAGCAGCCTTTTGAGACTGATACATTTGACTAACCTTCAGCTTTTTATTCAGCCCATATAACACGCTGAACGTTTGAAAATGAAAACTTTTTTGTGCATTTCGCCTTTGTTTGATTACACATAGTTCAGGAAATGAGAGATAAAAACATGAAGCACCCGTCACAGTTGAGGCGATTACATTTTTGAAGGTGGATATATCATATATAAAAGTGTGTCCATATAGGATTTCTGTTTTCTAAGCTATATGAGCTATGAAGGGAAATTGAGGCACTGTGGACACATTGGTTTCTAGTTTCACGGCAGTACGTGCTGGCAGAAAGACAAGTGGTTGTATGTTAAGCTAATTAAAAATAATTACCTGCATGGCTGGTCTGTCTATCTGCCATCAACTACTGATATCATGAACTTCATTGCAGTTTAACAGAAGTTTAGTGAGATATATGAGCCTCCACACAAAGAAAGAAATACATCTCCTTAAAACACTAGGAAGGAAATGTGTTGACTACATCGTTAGTAACTAATTTCATCAAGTGGCTTATTTATAAGACCACTCCACTGATTTATCATTGCAATCCTTATTAAAGCTACAGTAGGTAACTTTCATGAAAATAACTTTTTGTCACTTTTGCTGAAACTTTCACTATATCCTGACAGAAGTACATGAAACATAATCTGTGAAAATATCAGGTTCCTCTGGCTCCCCCCTAGTGCTCCCAAGGGCATTTACAAGAATTTACTGGGCCTGAACAACAATAACCAATCAGAGCTGAGAAAGATAGTTGATTGTTGAGTCTCATTCCCAGGTCGTCAAATACAGATGCTTTGGCTTGTTGACTTGAAGATAGTCGACTGTTCAGTCTCCTGGGACTATCTATCTGTCTCATGTACTACTGTCAGGATATAGTGAAAGTTTCAGCAAATATGACAAAAAGTTATTTAATTAATAGTTACCTACTGCAGCTTTAACACTAGAGAGTTTTGAAAAGGGGATCAAAATCAGTTCAGCAAAAACACAGATGTCATAGTTTTTGCACCTCACATTATTCTTCCTTAGCAAACCTGGTGCCTACATTACCCACAATGCAAGTGTGTTATGCTAGTAGTAGCTAATGTAGCCCAGAACCTGCAGCAGAGATGAGGAGCGGGTCACAGAGGTCTGGCAAACTCACTATTTTCAAACTCCACACCCTGAGATTATTTGTTTTGTACTTGGTTTCATCTTTAATTGTGTGTATGTTTTGAAAATCTAATACTCTGCCAATCACTCACATAATCAGCACACACTGTAAAAGATCAAATATGTCCCCATACTTTTGGTAAGATCAAGTGGATCTTTAACAGGAAGGGGAACATTTGATATTTTGTTCATACAGAGACGCATGAAAGTTCTTTGCTAAAGAAGATAACGCTGAGCTGATGTGTCTTAGGTTAAAAAAAAACAACTTTCATGTAGATTTAATTAAAAGACATGAAACAGTCTTTTTAACCAAACCAGACAGAAGTTAAATGTTTGGAAAGTTTAGAAAGTTTTGCACTTTACATAAAAGCAACTGCTATCAAAGAAATTTAAAACCAAATGTGATGAAAAGACGCTTCCTCGCTTGATATTTGACTTCAAATAGCAGATGACAAACTAGAAAGATCACTCCTTATGCCATTATATTCAACAATGAAGGTTTCTTTACAGACCTTTGAGAAATTTTGTTTTAACAAATCTAATATTGACGTTTACCAGTTCGAATCAATCCATTCTCGTTCCCTCAACACCTCCTTTGCCCAAATGTCACAACTCATCACGCGGCTTATTCTCCCCTTCGGCGTGCCCCCTCTACCTCCCCCTCCACCTCCACAGTGCCCCAAGCTACTCCTGTCAGACAGAAGTACTCGTCTCTCGGGCTGATAAGAGACACTGAGCTGCCATTATTTCCTCCGGTCTAATCAGGAAGCTGCCACTCAGTGTGCCATCCCTGGAAAAAAATAAACAAACTGGGGGCGGCAGAAATTAGCCAATAATTATTGTCGATTTACAGAAATGGCCGTGGTGGAGGTTCACTCCTCTGGTCAGCTGCGGTGCTGTATTATATTGTTTTGAGACCAACCCTGACTTCTTGTCTTGGATGGATGGGATTCTTCATAATTCTTACTTTTCAGAAGGACTTCACTATGTAACAAAAGTGCAATAAACATGCTGGGGAAGCTTAAAGAACCCCTCCATACATGTTTTACAACACATACAAATGGTCTGCTTGGAACAATAAAGTCATATAAAAACTAAATCTAAATCTTTACTCCCAGACTCCTAGTCACTGACCTGTAGAATATGAAGAGATTACAGTGTGACAAATTTGATGTTAATTCACTAATATAGGTAAAATATGAAAGCACAAAATAATTGGCGTGAATACAGTGATTTGTGGAATATGTCCAGTATTGTCATTTTGATTCAAGTGAATATCTTTACAGGATTTAAAGCTGCAGTAGGTAACTTTTATGAAATTAACTTTTTGTCACATTTGCTTAAATGTTCACTATAGCCTGACAGTGCTACATGAGACAGATAATCTGTGAAAGGTTCCACTGGCTCTTCCTAGTGCACCTAATGGAATTTGCAAGAATCCACCAGGCCTGAACGAAAAAAAACCAATCAGAGACCAATAAGAGAAAGATAGAAAGACACTTTGGGTTGGTGGCTTGAAGATAAATTATTGCTGAGTCCTGGGAATGAAGCTCAATAATCAACTATCTTAATTGGCTTTGATTTGTTGTTTTCATTCATTAGTAGGACTAGGAGGAGCCAGAGGAACCTGACCTTTTTAAATTCTGTACTACTGTTAGGATATAGTGAAAACTTAAGCAAATATGACAAGACAAAGGTTTTTAATAAAAGTTACCAACTACATGTTTAAGTCAGTTGAAGATTTGGCAATGAACCAACAAAATGTGCTTTTAAACATGGACGAGTAGCTGAGTTTTCCCAGGTTATATACCAGACTTTTTAAGACCATTATGAATGCAATTTAAGACCTGTTTTACATGCATTCTGGCAAAAATAAATATTATAATTCTCTTTAAAACAAGCGAACAACAATGGCCGAACCCAGTAACTAAAAGTACAGCAGATGGGAAATGAAAACAATGTGTCTCAAATCAGCACCATGGGCAGCTCCCATTTTGCAGTATGATTTGCAGTTGGAGGCAAAAAGCAGAAACATGGTGATCTCAGCAAAAAAACGACAACAGCATTGTACATTAATGACCCCAAGATTGGCCACTTGTGAAGTACAGATAAACAAAGAGTTGCCCAAATCGAAGCAGCAGAGGCCGAGATATCCGGACTATTAGTCAACAATAAGGCTCAGGCTCTGAAAACCCTGGACCCTACATTTCCCATAATGCAACTCGACGGAATATCATGCTAGACCCTCCCTGTC